GTGTCGGAGAAGATGCTCTGCACCGAGCTGTGTGACGACTGGAGGATGCAGTACTTCAAAGATTACATCAACGAAATGCTCAAAGGTGAGACAGCAGCTCAACGTCACGCAAAGATAAAACAGAAAGATTTTCACAGCCTGGATCATATGAGATGAATCTAGACATGTTACATCTTTATTGTTTGCTTGTTTGTTTCCAGCGATGAAGGACGGGGTGAACGTGAAGGGCTACACAGCCTGGTCTCTCCTGGATAACTTTGAGTGGGATGAAGGGTTCTCCGAGCGGTTCGGACTCTACTACGTGGACTTCAGGAGCAAAAACAAGCCGCGCTACCCGAAGGCCTCGGTCCAGTTCTACAAACGCATCATCAGCTCCAACGGCTTCCCCAATCAGAGAGAGGTAAACCGTCCCGCCGCGCTACACGTGGAGCACATTGTGTGAAGCACTGCTAAGAGGTGTTTGGATCTTTACAGGTGGAGAGCTGGAAGAGGAAAGCCGTGGAGACTTGCTCCTCCAGTAACCAGCTCCTGGCTGCAGGTCAGTACGATGAAGCTAAAAAAAGGAAGCTCGGTGGGGGCCAAACAAAGAAGGAATTCTGTCTCAAGCTTGTTCTTTCGCTCTCTAACGGGGTTTGTCTTTGTTTCGCCCCCTCCAGCTAGAAGAAAGTCCCAGAGAGATCAGCAACAGGCTTGGCCAGTGCATGATGAAGTTTAGGTACAACAGTTGTTTCTGAGTGAGATCAACGGGATGTTTCTTTAATGCAATGCTACCTAATTCTTTATTTCAGGGGCAAATAATACAAGTTTTGTTCTCTGAGTTAAAAAAGCTTCTTAAGAGTGAGAAAGCCTGACAAATACAAAACAAAAATAAAAAAAATAATTATATCAAGGTAAATAAATGAAGAAATAATAACACGCACATAAGAATGTAAATAAATCCATGAGATGCATGACTTTTACTGAAAGTTTTCAAGGTGCATAGCAGCCATTTAAATATAAATATATATATTAAATATTTATAGACTTGACACTTTAATTAATTAACAGACTTAATTTAACTTACTCTTAATTTTCACATTATTTTATTATTAAATCATGTCTTTTACTTCTGCACTGTGTTATTGTTATGCACCAATCACCAAGCCAAATATGTGCGAACAAACATTCTTGGCAATAAACCGATTCTGATTCTGATTTCCAGTTATTTGAAGCTAGGGCTGTAAATGGAGACTTTTCCTCACAGGTCCTTGTTGTGTGTCTCAGATCCGTTGATAGGCCACATGGAGATGGTGACAGAGATCGTGGTTCCCACCGTGTGCACGCTCTGCATCCTCCTCAGTGCAGTCTTCCTCATGTTCCTGCTGCGTGGACGCCTCTGAAGACACACACACACACCTACACGCACACGCACACACACACACACACATACACACATACAGATCTGAGAGTGACTACAAAGCTGTGAAACTTTATCCTGTCGAGAGCATTTTGTTGATTGAACTGTCCTGCTGTTCTGTTTTGAATAAACACTTTTCGAGGTTATCACCATTGAGTCAAAAAAGCCGATACTTGTCACAAATCTGAAAGAATGAATTCAAGCTCGGTATATTACTATTATTGTTATTTTTATTTATTTTTTAACAAACTGTTCTTGAGTGGTAGTTTGACTCAAACTAACTGCAGAGAAAAGATGGTTTATTGTCAAAAGGTTTGTCAAATAAAGAAATAAGAGTGATGGAGATAACGTGTAACTATCTGTGGATCATACACTTCAAATAAATACATTTTAAGACTTAAATGGAGCTGGTTATTGATTGAATTGATCAGATAAATCACAGAAACACCTTTTCCTGCACAGCGTTCTATCCTTCAAATTCAAAGCCCTTATCTGGATATAAATGAGAGAGGGAAACCAACATAGCTACTAAACATGTAATTATAGTTTATAATATCGAATCTGTTTCTTTTTTAGTGAAACTATTTTTGATCACTGAACTATATTCACACAAATTAAATATACATTAAAACAACTCAAACAAACTGAAAGGCAAAGTCATAGCCAGATTTCAGGATTTTTAGAATCCCTGGGATGATTAGTCCAACCACCCTAATACATGTTTGACCTGCCACCAAAAACATCTGTACATTAGTAACTTCTAAATTTACTTTTTATATATATAAATTTCCCCCGTTAATTTATGAATTAATCGGTGGGACTTTATTTTGAAAAGAGAAGATATTTGTACCGGAAGTGGGTGTGGCTAGCTTGATATTTGGCGCTTCGCTCAACAGACAGCTCGTGAGTGGTAAGTCAATATTATAAAGTTATAAAGTATTCAGTTTGAACTACAACGTCGTATTTTTATAAGCTATAGTTATTTTGGTGACTTGTGGTTGACTCGTGTTTTACTATTGCGCTGACAGCAGCTTATCTTACATGTTAGCTAACTCTCGATTCTTCATGTACACCGGCCCTTTAACACCGTACCTGTAGAGAGGGAGGGGGAGGGGGAGAGGGAGACGTCATCGTTGCAGCTCTCTACTGTAAGACGGACCAACACGTTGTTTTCATGTAATTCAATCTTCATCCTTTAAACATATAGAATTGACTAATACTTGGTTTGACAATGAAAAGCTGAAAGTACTCGTACTCGGGGACAAACACCAACACGCCGTTGTCTCGGATGGAGTAGATGACGGCGTCGGCCACACAGCGCCGGTCCGACTGAGGGTCTCTGTCTTTGAAGTAGAGACACTGAAACAACTCCGTGGACAGCTTCTGGGCCTGCTGGGCCGCCTGGGGACGTCACACAGAGGTAGGACGGTCAGAGGAGTTTCTTTACGTACATTGAGAGAAGTGAACCACAAAAACAACACCGACCCGGTTCTTGTTGTTGATATGATGAGCCGCTTCCTCCAGTTCTTTGTTACCGGCCACTGCTCTGCGGGGGTCCAACCCTCGGTCCACGTCGAGGGCCGCGGCGAGGAGGCGGTGCACCACGATGTCGGCATAGCGGCGGATGGGCGAGGTGAAGTGAGTGTAGCGGTCCAGAGCCAGTCCTAAAAAAAGAAAGAAACATCGGCACAGTTCACGAGAAAACATTTTAATCTTCTTTTAAGTCTAAAAATCAGAGATGCTCAGATGCCGTTTGTTCGTTCCCGATACCGATATCTAAGTATAGGCCGATACCGAGATCCGATAAGATGCCAGTACGTTAAAAATCTCTCTAATCTGTTATTTTATTTTGTTACGTTGAATGCACATTTTTACGGATGTTATTATTTATGTAATTTGCCCTTTCATTTATGTACTTTCCTTTCACTTCAGAGGGCTCAGGCACACACACACACACACACACACTGACTTTATGATGTCAGCTGGCCTGTGTCTCACTGTTCTTGTCGTCCTCTTATGTTTATGTATCGTCTCTTGTCTCGCAATAAAAGAAAAGAAAATCTCTCTAATATTTATTTCATATTGCTGTGAAAACAGCTTCTTCAAAGAACTAGATATATTCAAGCTTCTCACCAAAAGACTACATGTGAACACACGCATAACATTAGAATTTACCTGCATTTAATACTCATTTTTACTGAATAGAGCTTGAACGCATCATAATGTAACTCAATCCCTAGACTCGATATAAGAAGTGGACGTCGCCATCTTGGTTATTTTGCAACCAGTGAACAGGAAGTGACCATATCTGGACTGAGGAGG